GTAGTCGGATTTTGAGAAGTCTGAGCGGACATAAGTATATTCAATCGAGAAGTGATAGCATCTATATCACTCTGCCAAGGAGGAGCAGTAGTAAGAGTAGCGGTAGTAGGTAGTGGTACCTCAGCAATAGCAGCAATACGGCCACGAGGAGGCGGCTTAAGCTCCGGATGGAGCTTCCAGCAAGCAGCCTGAGATGTCCTGGTCAGCCACAATAATCACACTTACGAGAATACCCCTGTCTGCGTTGATCTGGGGCACTATGACGACGCTAGTCCGAGCGCTGCCCACCCCTGACTGAGGATCCTGAACGAGACCCTACAGCAGCTGCAAGGGTCATTTGATCAGTCGGAGGAGTCAAGGTCGCAACTGGAAGTGATACAATATGGACGCGGCGCTCATGCTGCTTAATCATCGCATACACCTCATAAAGAGAAGGAAGCGTCAACATCGATAATATCTGGAAACGAGGTCCCTCAAACTCATTACAAAGCCCCATAAGGAATTTGTGAATCTTATCCTCCTGCGCTCGAGTATGCAAGAATCCTGCTCCCTCGGGCTCTATCCTCGAAATAGCAGCAAAAAGGACGTAGAGTCTCATACTCAAGTCAATGCTGGGTCAAATAGCCATAATAATCCTGAACAGTCATATCTCTCAGCTGAGCATATGAGAGCTCCTAAGAAAGCTCATAAACATGAACTCCCCGTCCTGACTAGGAATACATCTTTGATAATGCGCTCTATAATTTCGGAACAGAGTTGTGAAACTGATGAATCCTGTAAACCGATGGCTCCATCGAGCCAAATAACCATCCAAGAATGGCGCAATTCTCAGAGAACCATGCATCATATCCAAGGTCGGCATTTGCTGGCTTTGGGTGAGATCCTGTCAGCCAACCAAGCTTCCCTACATGGCCTAAGAAAAACTGGAATGAGCGAGACCACTCAGCGAAGTTACGGCCATTCAACAACTGTGCCATAACTTTCTGAGGGATCATGCCCGATAGTGGTAGTAATGCAACTGTGTCAATAGGTACTGTACACTGGTTAAAAATAAAAATAGAAGTACCAATAGATGTCTCAACGGTAGAGGTGTCAACAGTAGGGGTCTCAAGTCCCTTAGTAGTAGCCATATCAACAACAATACTAGGGCACCCGTGATAGAAAAATAATTCTAAGATAAATAAAGGGATAAAATAAGAGAGACTAATATACCTCCAGTCGAACAGTAGCGACAGATAAATAAGGTCCAGAATGCTTCCAAATAATCAGGTCACGGTGCCTAAAAATCTAAGAAATATAAAAGTGATCTACTACATCAAAAACAGATCAACAGATCATCGAAGAAGAGGATCCGTTCCCTCCTAAAAAGTCCTAGATACTACAACCTAGCAGCACTGTGACGAAGTGTGCGAAGGACGAAGCTACAACAAAAAAACGACCCGATAGTGGGCTGGACAGTGACCCAAGTTAGGCAGTGGGTCGCTGGGTTGGGTAGTGGGCTGGTCTGGGTTGGGTAATGGGCAGTGGGTTGGTTTGGTTTGGGTTCGAATAATGGCTGGTCTGGTTTGATAAAATATGTTTAGGTTGATTTAATATGGGCAGTTTATTTAATATGTGCAATCGGTGAGCATACTGTTGAAGGTGGGCTAGATTGAGATTGATTTAATAAGGTGAGGAGTTGGTTTGTCAGCTGGAGTGGAGGCAGTTGGTGATTGAGTGGATGGGCAGTGGGTAGTCAATTTATGCTTGGAAGGTGGTCGGTGGGTGCTATGCTAAAGGTGTGCCTAATTTCGGTGGGTCAATGGTAGGTAGAGACAGTCGGTTTGTGTCTTTCTCTCACTGGTTGCAATTATTGGTGGTTTATGGGATTTGTCGGTGCAGCAGGGATATTGTTCGCTGTCGGTATTTGGTTTTGTTGGAATTTGTCGATCTAGGTGGGTATTCGGTTTTGCATGTGAGGTTACTGCCTTTGTGGTGGATTGAGGTTGTTTGTCGTAGGGTATATACCCTGAAGTTTCTTGCGAATGGTACTATTGATCGTCACAAGGCTAGGCTAGGCTTGTGGCGAAGGGCTTTACTCAGGTACCAGGTCGTGATTTTAGTGCTACCTTTGCCCTTGTGGCAAAATTGACTACTGTTCGATTGATTATTTCTCTGGCTGCAGAGTACTCTTGGCCTCTTCATCAGTTGGATGTGAAGAATGTATTTCTTCATGGTGATCTGGACGAGATTATTTATATGGATGCACCATTGGGCTTTTATGGTGAGGGGGAGTATGCTGGAAAGGTATGTCAACTGCGTAAGTCTCTTTATGGACTGAAACAGTCACCACGAGCCTGGTTCTCTCGCTTTAGTGATGTAGTTGTACGTTTAGGGTTCACCAGATGTCATTCTGATCATACATGCTTCATTCAAAATGGAATACTTCTGGATCGTGTGTCATCTTTTTAGTATATGTTGATGATATTATTATTATTGAAGATGATATTTTTGGGACTATACAGGTCAAGGTAGACCTTGAGAAGGCCTTCGATGTGAAGGACCTTGGATTTTTGTGATATTTTTTTGGGATTGAGGTTGCCCGTAGCAGCAGAGGTATTGTCCTTTCTCAGAGAAAGTATGTTCTGGATCTTCTCTTAGACACTAGGATGCTGGGATACAAACCGACATCATCACCCATGATTTCAAACCTGAAACTTACTGTTGAATGTGAGGAGTTGAGAGATATGACTATTTATCAGAGGTTGGTAGGTAGACTTATCTACCTAGCCAACACTAGGCTAGACATTTCATTCGCTGTCAGCCAAGTTAGTCAGTTCATGCACAGACCATGTCAGCTTCATCTTGATGCAGTTTATCATATTCGTCGATAACTCAAGTCTTATCCTGAACTTGGGTTGTTTTATGCATCAGGATCTCAAATTGGTTATCTAGCTTGTTATTCAGATTCAGATTATGGGGGAGTGTGTGACGATCCATCTACTACAGGCTTCTATGCTTTTCGAGGGACTCATGTTATCTCTTGGAAGAGCAAGAAGCAGTCAGTTGTCTCTCGCTCGTCAACAGAGACAGAGTATCGGGCACTGGCAATTGGCACATTTGAGATTATCTGACTACAATCGATTCTTGGCGAATTGGGATTTCCAGTGACTTCTTCATCTATATTATATTGTGATAATCGATTTGCCATTTAGCTTGTTTTTGACTCAGTATTACACGAGAGGACGAAACATATAAAAATCTATGTTTACTTTCTTTGGGAGAAGATTAGCAGTGGTATTGTCACTCCATCGTTTGTGGGGACCAGTTGCGGATGTTTTCACCAAACTTGTCACTCTATCCATTCTTCGGGACTCCGTTGTCAAGCTTGACCTAGTTGACATTTTTGCGCCTACCTTGAGGGGGAGTGTTGGAGATATAACAGTCTAGTTTATTAGGGTTTATTAGAGTTTATTAGAGTTTTCTCTTTTTTACCTTTTTATCTTTATTGTAATTTTTATTGGCTATATATACGGGGGCTTTATACTTAATTTGTATCCCTTTTTACTCACCAATACATTAAGTCATTGAAACTACCCTATTACGTTCTAAGAGAAATCTGCTTGAGCTGACTGTCCAAACTTGGCGCATGCAATCTTCCAAGATAAACTGTGTGTTAGATATCTGCACTGTTTTAAGATAAGGTAGTGATCTACGTTCTTGATAGCAAGCGAAACTTTGTGCTTATTTTACTCTGTTCTTTTATATCGTAGTTTCTGTAGAAAAGAAGCTTTTACCACAACACCAGGCAAAGGTCATCTCATTGGATAAGAACTTTGAGAGATTGATGTGGATGCTTATGGAATTGAGTTAAAAAGCGCCACTCATATGGTGATATGGTTACTCTTTTCCATTATAAGGGAGGCTGCCCTCTATTTAAGAAGAGGCAATTTGGAGAGTGTAGAATGTGGATGGATTACAAAGTGCTCATTTTGCAAAGAGATCTATAAGGGAAATAGTTGTAGGGCTCAGGGCACATATAATCTTGAAGGTGGCAAGGGGAGGTCCACTGTGGAAAATTAGTTGACTCTGGATCATGTTCAACTTATTTCGTGTTAATGGAAACTATTTTCTCCATTTTGCAGGAGGCTGCTCCTGTGATTAGTCATCAATTTGAGTAGGTTCTTAGTATTAATTGTAGTAATTTGGAGTAAGTCAAGCCTGGATGGAAGATACAGTGCCTTTGTGATTAAATCTCATTTCAAAAGGTTATACAAAGTTGTTGGTCATAGAACTCCAGAGAATGCATAACCTGGAAGGGATATAAAGAATTGCCCACAAAAGCTACATACTCAAGCTTGGAACTTCTGGTTTTAACTTCTTTCACGTTTGATCTTTGTCTTCCTACGATGAAGCTTGCAAGGATTGGAATGGCATCTAAAACTTATTTCAAAAACTTTTGGAAGGCATGCTAGTCGAGGCCGGTAAAGGCATAAATTGAATTTGGAGTGGATGGTGTACAGGCCTCGGAACTGATCGTACATAGACATGTGAAAGAGCTATAGCAAAGGGATATCATTGGATTGATTTTAGCTCCAAAATTTATCAAATAATACAATGAACATTAACATCATAATAATGCCAAAGACAAATGAGCCTTAATTTATATAGACAAACATAGGTAGCATATCTTAATCCATTTTTTCTAGATGTGTAAAGTATCATTGATTGAGGGAATACAAGTCATTAGAAGTTTTGAATTTTTTAGGAAATTTAAAAGGGTGAAATTTATTGGTCACTAAGAAATGGATGTATGGTACATTACAAGATTTTTTTATATTTATAATATGAGCAATGTAACGGATTTTCAATATTTAACCTAATCTAATCTCATATATTCTAGGATACCCATCTTTAATAAACTATTGTGAATCTCACTCGGTGTTACACATTACAGTTCTATAGTCTCCTCTAATCTCACACTATTTAAAGTCTTATCCTGCACCGGTCATCGGTAGATTATGGGGAGTCTCGCACAGGTCTACACATCACAGTAGCTTCGTCGTGTTTTACAGTTTCTTAATTTCATGTTATATATGTCCAAGAAGTAAGATGCTGAACAAGGAGCTAAATCTTGTTTCCTTTCAACCGAAACATTTCGGTTTCCATAGAAATGGAAATGAATTAGTGATTGAATATCGAAATTTTTATGTTTCGTAGTTTTTTGAGGTGTTTTGATTCTGAAATGTTTCAAAAATTAGTTTTCAAATTTTTTCTCTACTTCCATCATTTGTCTAAAATATTTTTGAAACGTGTTCATTTCTTAGTTGACCAAAACTCTGTACAGAATGGAAACTTTGATCCCTGGTGGTGAATATGTATAAGAGTTTCACAAGATACAAAGATAGAGGCTCTCAAACTGATATAAGCTGTTGAAAAATGCATTATTACTGATACCTTAATGAAGAGATCTTTATGCATAGCATTTATAGTATTGTTCTTGATGAATTTTATGGTGGGTCATGATCTAATTTAGTGTAAGAGGACGTGTAGTATTGTGATTTGTGTTGTTTTACTCTTATTCTCAGGTTATCGCTGCACTAAGGGAAGCGGGCCTTGAATCATCGAATTTAATTCTTGGTATTGACTTCACAAAGAGCAATGAGTGGACAGGTACCTTTATTTCTTACAGAATCTTGCTATACTATGTTTTATCTTTCAATATGTGGGAGGAGGATGTGACATTCAACTATTGTAGGCAAGCATTCTTTCCATAGAAGAAGCCTTCATTCAATCAGTAACACACCTAATCCATATGAAGAAGCCATCTCTATAATTGGACGTACATTGTCTCCTTTTGATGAAGACAATTTGATACCCTGTTTCGGATTTGGTGATGGTTAGTGTTTTGTTATAAATGTAATGTTAAGTTGAAATTATATCATTATTTCTCCTTAGATTTGTTGTCTGAACATATTTTGTTTCATAGCATCAACACACGATCGGCATGTCTTCAGCTTTTACCCTGATCACCGACCTTGTCATGGTTTTGAGGAAGCTCTTGCACGTTATAGAGAGATTATTCCTTACTTGAAGCTAGCAGGTTTTGGGCTGAATTTTTCTGTTCTAATCCTTGTTTTTTGCAATTACTTCGATATTAGTTTGTAAGTGGTTCATGTAATAGAATGTGTTCTAATTTTCCCTCCTTTTGTTTAATCTTTAAGGGGATTCTTTTAACTGTATACTCTTAAGTCGGGTTGGATTGCTTTAAAAGTTGGGTTGCTTGGACAGATAAAAGGAAAAAGTCAAGAATATGTCATCCATGCAAATTTTTTCCCCAAGAACTGTGCCTTCACCAGCCCCGAATTCCTTTTAGACCTCACCTCATAAGTTTTAACATGTCAGAGCTTTTGTTAACAGCCAGCCAATTTGAGTGTAGTTTGAACGATTTTCTTCTCTAATTTATCCTTCGAGTGCCCCTGGATGAGGGGAATATGTCATGACTAATTTTTCTTTCTATAGACTTGAGAGGTGTATATTAAGCTTCTTCTCCATGCAGAATATTGCAGCTGAGTCTTAAAATGGGGCAAGGATAGATTTGGCAATTTAGCAGTCAATCTTTCTGGTCCTATTTTTGGTTCTAATTACAAGCATGGATGTGTATATGTGATGCATATGATGATGATGATTCTACAAAATCTACCCTTAAATATGTTTACTCAACAAATAGGTCCAACTTCATTTGCTCCAATAATTGATGCTGCAATTGACATTGTGGAGAGAAGCAATGGTCAATATCATGTCCTTGTCATTATTGCAGATGGACAGGTTCATAAAACATGTTCTGTACTGTGAATTTTGATTGATTATATATTGATTCCAACTCTTTCAGGACCCCCCCCCCACCCTGATTTTTTTTTTTTTTTTAAATTGAAAATAAATTAGGTCAGTAGGAGTCCTGATACACCACCTGGAAGGCTTAGTCCACAAGAACAAGCAACTGTCGATTCTATTGTTGCTGCAAGGTAAAGTGCTATTACTATTGACTCAGAATAAGGTGGCATTCTCCTTGCTTTACTTTTGACATTCTGTATACAGTGAATACCCTCTTTCAATAATTTTGGTTGGTGTGGGAGATGGACCATGGGATGCAATGCATCAATTTGATGATAACATTCCTCAGCGCGTGTTTGACAATTTCCAGGTACTATGTTAACGCTAACTGTAACTTCATAATATTTTTTATAGTGTATATTCTATCACTTTGACAATCTTTGTTGACCAAATGGCATTGGTGGATAGTATAGTGGCTTCCTTAGAGTTTGGTATTTGGTAATGATTATGTTTATCTAAACAGCCATGCGGGTTGTATATAAAATGACAACAAACCTGTTTGTTTTCTAAGAATCTAGGATGCGATGCAAGCTTTGTGCCTTTACTTTTCCATTTGATTTCTTCACCTAATTGTAATCCACTCCATCTAGGAAGCACAAACGCTCAATTTTGGTCTGAGTGCCGGTGTTGGACACATCTGGGACACGGGCACGTGTCGGACACGCTAAAATGAGTATCTAATTTTTTTTATTACTACTAGTAATACACGACATGCGTTGCACGTAAACAAATTTAAATAATATTGTTTTTATAGAAAAAGTGAATTATATGAATAATTAAATTAAATAATAAATTAACTGTTGAATAATTAATTCCTATTTTAATTATTACTAAATTTAATTATTAGTTTATTTTATAAGTCTTTGAATAACTAATGTGTCATTTATTTAGGTATCTCTCTGACTTGTTTAGTCATTTGTCTATCTATTTATATTATATAATTATTAATTTTTATTTTTTTAAATAGATAGATTAAATCACCTCTAATATTATTATATTATTACATATTAAAAAAATAAATATAACATATATTTGACTGTGAAATTCAATTTGGTAATTACATGTATATAATAATTTAACATATATAGGACTTAGTTCTTCATTAAATATAAAAAATTGTATATAATTGTTCCATTAATAAATGAGTTCAAAAAAATTTAGAAGTCTTTCTAAAAGAGTTCAAAATAAGTTGAAAGTTATATAAGAGTAAAAAACAAAAATTAGATGAAAGTATATAAGTGAGTATAATTGTCTTTATTATAATAATTATGGATAAAATAGGAAATCAAATTTTTTTCACAGATATTGATATTTATAAGTAGTATAGATTAAATTGTTTTCAGGACACTCTCGGGACATACAACTAGTACGCTCGGGATATTCATTATGACACGTTTTGAGATTTTTTTTCAAAATTTTGAAAACTTGTTAAGTAACTTTATAATTAAGGACGTTATTTTTGTAATTTTAAAGAGATATGAGTCAAAGACATATTATAAAATGGGTTGTAATCGCTACATGAACATAGGATATGGATATACTTAATTTTAGACACAAACGAAATTATATAAACTGACATAAATTTTCTTTATAAAAGTAATGCGATAAAAATTGGGGTTGATATTGATGAAAAATTAGGATTAATAAGTGGGATATCTTTTAAAATAAAAATTATAGTAGTCATTGATTGTTGAATCATGAATGTTTATGATGAATGAATATCATGATGTGAATTATTAGAAGTAAAGACAGATGAATTGAATGATTATTATTAAATTGTTTTTATTTTATCACTAGATATTTATATATTTAAGGGAGATTTGATGACAGCTTCACATGGAGTGACTTTTTTGGTTTTAGGTTCAGCCTCAACACTTTTTAAGGCCAAAAGTCTATAAAATCAATCATTGACAAAAATATCCTTCGCGAAGGAGGTTACTTAAAAACTTCTATTATTATCTAATTTTTATATTTATTAAATTATTACCATTACCATCATCATCCCGCCACCACCACCACTACCACTACCCATCGCCACCACCATGACTTGCCACCTAAGAAGCACAGATACGGACATGGCGATACAATAAAATTTCAAAATATAGGATACAGATACGGTGAGGAGACGGTTAATTAAAATAATTATATATATTTTTATATATATAACAACAACATTAATAATAACAAATAATCGAGACATAACAAACATTACTTAAATTGAAATAGATCAAAGATTCAAAAAGATATATCCATAGTCCACAAGTTTGCTAACAAAAAAACACAAAAACAAAAGGACACAAAAACAAAAGGAATCCGACATCCTCCCTCAATTCACTTCAACGCGCTCAACGTCGTCATTGTCAATTCCTTCATTAGTAAAGAGTATGGCCTCCAAATCTGGTTCATCAAGGGAAAGATTTGCAATCTCAAGCATCCTACTACCCCCCTCATCCATGGAATCAAATGCATCTCCTGCAACATCCCACATCTTAGTGTTGCCTTCCTTGTATTGAGGAGATTTCCTTGATAGAAGGCGGGGATTGGAGTGTACAAATACCAAGTCTTTGGCTCTATCTGGTTTGATTTTGTTCCTCCTTAAAGAGTGTATAAAAGAATAAGTGTTCCAATTCCTCTCATAACATGAGGAGGAACAAAGTTGCCTCTGTAACTTCAAAGCCAAGTTTTGGAACAAGGGTGCCGTAGAGCCATAGATAACTCACCAAAAAGCCGGCTCCATGAGTCCTCTATCACTCATGGAATCATGACTTCCAAATTCTTTAAAGCACGCTGAAAACTTGGTATACTCCTCTTTGGCCTTTCTTCGCTCCTCCAAATTATAAAAGTATCTTTGAAAACACTTTTGTCTTTTATTTGAAATCTCTTCATCTTTGTGTGGAGGAACACGATTAGGAGCCATAGAAAGCCATTCCACGCTATAATACCTAAAAGACAAAGTAAATAAAATGATAATCATTTGATATCTAGAAAATTAAATTAGAATCTTAAAGTTTAGAGCTTACAAATTACCTCGGATTCAAGGAATGTGCCAAGCAATGGAGCGGTGTTTTGCTCTTGCCGCATCTATCCATTAATAGTTCATAAATCACCGAATAAAAGATTGATTCCTCATCTTCCTGCTTCCCTTCATGACGAAAGATAATAACCTTCACTTGCTCAATCACAAATTCTCACATATCATAAACTAAGTGTAGGCAAGGCATATCTGTATCGACCTTTCTTAGCATCTCATAAATGGGTTCAATAAAGGAAATTATATAATCAATTTTGTCCCACCACAAATCATTTAATATTTTCTCATTCACAAATGCCGTTTTTTCAACATCATCTTCTCTATAACAAGATCACCGATTACTAATAACCATGTTTTGGAGACCACGTTTTAGAACTTTAAATCTTTTAAGCATCACAATGGTTGAAACAAAATGTGTCTCTGTAATTGAGAGCATCTTTAAATTCACATGATCATTAAACATGTCCAATCTCATGTTGTGGTTCACAATAAAATTTTTAATGCTCACACAATCCCCAACAGTAACCGAGATCCAATTACATTCTTTATAAACACGTCCATTGGCTTCGGTGTTTTTTGGTGCACAAATATTTTTCAAAGCAAGATTAGGTGTGTGCACCACACAAGGGGTCCAAAAGATGTGTTTATGACAACCCTCAACAAGCATTCACGCACTCCTACAAATAGGTGCATTATCAGTGATCACTTGGACCACATTTTGAGGTCCAACTGCATGAATGATCTCCAGAAGCAAGTTGGATATGAAATAATACTAACACTACAAATGGTTTGAGCATTCACGCACTCCTACAAATGGTTTGAGCATCCGTCCAACCATAAAAAACAATACTAACACCTTTTTCTTTCCACAGTTGCTTCATTGGCTCTAACAACCTCTCAATGTTTACTCTCTCTTTTTGAAGAAGTGAAGTCCTCAACATATTATAACCAGGAGGGATATAGCCACTAATCATATGAGTAGCTGCAAAAGTGTAGGAGCGACAATAATGTGGATTCCTTACAAGGTGGAATGGTAAACAGCTGAGTGAAATATCTTTGCAATCTCACTATGTAGCTCTTCTCGAGCTCCAACATTAAAGGCTTTCTCAAGAGCAGAAGTAGCCTTCCTTTTTTAAGATCTAAACCAGCCTCCTGCATTAATGAATCAAATTCTATTCCCATACCACTACTAACGCTTGCACTCGAGGAAGCAGGTTTGCTTGATGCTGAAGATGATGGTAAAGTGACTTGTTTGAGCACACTTTTTTTACTCTCACCTCAACTTCATCAACTAACGTTTGCATTTCAATTAATAATTGTGGAGTCACTTTCCGGCATACTTGAACTCCATGACCGTTGATTTTTAACAAATGTGCCTTAACCTTATAATATGATCCTTTAAAACTCAGTTGATACAAATTGCATTGAAACTAAACATTTCCTCCCCTACACTAATTTTATCTATTTTTTTGTAATATTTCCATAAATTGGTGTGATCATCACTGCCATCCCCACTGCCATCTCCATTGGCAAGAGAAGTCATTTTTCTAAATTCTAAATAACAGGCAACAACACAAAAATTTTCATAAGGTAGCAGACAACACTGATGACCATATTAGCACAGATGACAATTTTCAAAACTAGCAGGCAGCAGCACACTAGCACAGAAGGCAGTTGGCAGCAGCACAGATGACCAAAAAAAAAATATAGCAGCACAACAAAAAAGAGAAGACAAAAGCTAGCTAGCACGGAAAAGCAACAGATAGCAGCACAAAAATGACAGAAGCTAGCTAGCTCAAAAAAGAGAAGACAGAAGCAATTTTCAGTATTAAAACTAGCAGGCAGCAACACACTAGTACAAAAAGGTAGCAACACAGATGACCAAGTCCAAAAAAAATTCTCGAAGGTAGCAAGCAACAAAGCAACAAACCAAAAAAAAATCCTCAAATTTTGAAAACCCTAAAAATCCCTAATCAAATTAACGTAATCAAATTTTTTGAATTTCCACACTCCACACAGACCAGAAGACGAAGAGGTAAGAGCAGCAGTAGTAGATCTAAAAAAAAAATTGAAGCAAAAAGAAGAACCTGGAAGATTGCAGTCGCAGTCGTAAGTGAGTCTCTCTTCCTCTTCCCTTTCCTCTTTCTCTGGTCCTCTCGAGCTCCTTCTCTTCTCTTCTCCTCTCTCTCTCTCTCACACACACACACACTAAATGTCGATTAGAGTCAGTTCATAGATCAGATGACTTTTGTTTTGCCTTTTGTTTTTTCTTTTTCAAGCCAAAACGACTT